TAGGAATCGCAATGGTGCTGATGGAAATCAAGATTATTTCGATTCAGAACGAACTCGCACCACTTCCATAAAGGGAAACCGTGATTTACGAGATATTCAAAGCAGGAGGCCTTCAATTCCTTCTCCTTTATCAATTGCCATTCCACCAAATACATCGAATAATATACAAACCAAAGGTGTTGCGTCTCCAAATAAGAAATTTGATATTTTACAATATGATGATGAAATGGATGAAAATATTCCTTTAGGTCCTAGGCGAAGTATTCCTAACATTCGCACGAATTCTTTGGCTTCAAAGTTCTTTAAACGAAGCGTTCCAAATCTTCGAGATGCTGCTGGTAATGATCACACTGTTCCTTTACCATCATCTAATATCAAAAGAACAATTGCTCATATGCAAGATGCACAATCGACAACACCTCAAGGAATGAAAAAATCTATTCCTGTTTGTGGTAACAATGCCCGTTATATTGCAAAAGAATCTCCAACTAATGCGAGCCACTCTTTACGAGATGATAAAGATATTAATGGAATTAATATCAATACGAACCATTCATATTCTCAGCATTCTAGATATTCACCACAAGATGCTCGATATTCTCCTCAGGATACGAGATTTTCCTCGGGCCGAGATGGAATTAGAAACCGTGAACGTGCTAATACTTTTAGTTATAATAATATGAATAAAGATTCTCGTTTATTACCTGCTCCTCATGCAATTTCTCCACGCCAAGGCAATAAAACATTTAACAGAGAACGTTCTTACACATTCACCAGTGGAAATTCTCCAATGAATCCTAATACACCTTATCCATTTGATGAACCTTCTTCTTCACCACAATATTACACTATTGGCAGAAGAGAAAGATCTTACACTTTCACTGACGGTGGAAGGCATAGAGACAATAATTTCAACGTTGGAAGGAATGTGTATGATCGGCATCGTCCTCCTTCACTTGGTCGTAATTTTGGAAATAGTCCACAACAAAATTTCGGTTCTGGAAGAAATGGAACAGTAACTAACACTTCAAGATCACAATTTAATAACCATTCACCGGCTGAACAAAAGGATAGTTTGAGTCCTGGGAAAATTCAAGGAGACAATTTTCCTCCACGTGCCAAATCCGCATCTCCTTCATATTTTCATAGAAGAAATTCCAATGAATCAGAGTCCGTAGATTCTAAAAAGATTGGACAATCTTTAAATAATACAGCAAATTCGTCTTCTACTGAAAGTTCTACTGCACCTTCACCAGTATCTCCATCCCCAGATGAATCACCTTGTACTGATGATAAACATAGATCGATTGTCTCGTCTCCTACTTCAAATCATGTGACTTTTTCCGAGAATTTGAAAGAATCAGCATCCACAAAAAGACCTATATATATGCCTCGTAGACAAAGCTTTACAGCATTAACTGGTGAAGGAAAATCACACAGGACTCGAAGTTTAACCTTTGATAATAAGCCACATTCAAACTTTCAGGAACATAGTATACTGGATGGAAAAAAGAAAAAGTATGGCAAGTCAGAGATTTATGTTTGATGAAAGTTCGAACTCGGATTGGACCACGACGGGACGCTGGAGTCCGTCCTTTTGAGTTCGAAAATTATTATAACTCGCTTGAGGGTTGAGATGTTCTCCCCCGGCGAAATTAATGTGTATTTGTTGAATTGCTTAATTTGCTTTAAGTATTTGTACAAAAAGCTGAAACTAAGGGTAGCTGGGAAATTTTTCTTATACATATATATTATATACATACTTGTTGGGTTACATGGCTAACATGAAGGGGAACTAACAGAGGAAGTCCTTTTTCCTTTGTAATATATTCGCATATTTTTAATTTTTTTTTAGTTGAAGCAGGGCTT